TTAAGAATGGTAAAGAATATTCAGTGCTTTTATAGATTTTTTTGGATATTCTTCTGAAACAATTATCCAAAATCTATTAAGGGTGAAACCTTTGAATTTCAACTGTAATATTCAATCATGTTTAATTTTACAGACATTTTTCAGATCAAAGATATTCGTTCTAATTCGGTCTAATTTTTGGCACACCATGACTTCAGTTTTTTTGTCTCTTCGTTCTCAAGAAAGTTAAATTCAGATTCTTCCATAGTTAATAATACAAGTAACTACTCTCTCAAATTACAAACACCTGATAAAATATTTCTTCTAGAAAGTCACATTACTACGTTGTATAAAATCAATCTTGAATAGTTTGTATCACACATTTTTAGAAAATTCGTGATTTAAATAATCTATTCTTAATAAAATTTATAATTTTTTACAATTTGATCGATAATATATTGTAAGTCACATACTAAAAATGTTGCTACTAAGACCTCTTTATGATGGAAGTATTGGGTGAAAAAAAAGTTCAAATTTATTTTTTTAACTAAAGAAATGAAACCTGTAGTTGAGCCAGTCATTAAAAATGCTCCATGAGTACATTCCGATACAATTCTTCCATGTTAAATTTAATAGCTTTTATCTTTCTTCTAAATCTTTAAAAATATCTTGACCTCTCATGGTTTCGGGCAATATTTTATAACAAATAGTTTTCTTCAACATCATGATCTATTATAATACAAACAAAAACCAAAAGCTATGCTTTTTCACTTGTAACTGTAGATTATTCGTCTACTTATAGCATGTGAGTATGGGAGCACGAAAGAATCACGTAACTTATATAATAATTTTTGCTCAATATTTTGGGATATATGGTTTATACGCCTATCAATGGTATTACCAGAAAAACGATTTTTCATTACTTCTTCTTCAGGATCTTATTCAAACAATATTTTGAAAATTTTATGGCAAGCAAGTAAAATAACTATTCATATATTTTATGTTATTTCATTGTTTTATCCACAAACTTAACTACAAAATAACTCCTTTCATGAGATTTATTGAAAAATCTTCAAAGTTTGTTTTGTTGTGTGACTTGCCGCGTTCGTTTAACACGAATGAAATAAAAAAATCATACTGAAACTAATGTATTTTAAGATTAAAATAATGTTACACAAATTTAACATGAATATTACAATAAATAAATAAAAAGACGTTTATGCTATAGAGGTTCTGTTAGTTGATGTCCGAAGGTACAACTGACGATAATAAATCCGACTTGAATAAGTTGGTTAAATTTAGTCACTGAAGTCACCGATTTTTTAAACTAATTCAACTTAAACAGTTAATTTTAAAGAGTTGACTAGCTCATGAAATACACATCCCTGATTAATACATAAATATAGTAACTATATATATGATAATTAAATGCAATCGGTAATTTATGAAAAAAATGTTCATCGCATTGTTTTTCAACACAGTTTTCAATACGTTGATATATCATGATACCAAATTAGAAAACCATTGATCTGAAATTATATTAGATGAATCGATCATAATCGCAGTATCAATTAATATTATAAATATCTCGTAATACTTGAATATTTGTAAAGCACAGTGTTCGATTTGATTAATATATTCCAACCATAAATGACCAGTATTTATACCAGACATTTATGACCAGACATTCTCACTTTGATAATACAAACAATAGTTAGTAAATATATTAATAAAGTATTTATACAATTTTCTTTCAAACCCCGTCTGTTTTTATAACGTTAAATTAATGGATTTTTTTTTTTTACTTATTCCAAACGGCAATTTTCAGTAAATATTATGAAACTTTTAATACACTTCAGTCGCATATTTTACTAATTACATTAAATTATAGCGATCGTTCTGTATATTTATTATTTATTGCTAATTTATTTTAAGATAATGCCCGAATAGTTAGTAAAGTTTTATTAGATACACAATAAAAAAAAATGTAGAAAGCTATATATTATGTTAAATTAATAATACGCACAAAGTACATTTGATCCTATTCTAGTTTTGTTTTATTTATCATGGTGGAAATTTTATAAATTATTAACAGAACGTTAGCCATCTAGAGTCTTTTAAAATATTTGTATTTCGAAGATCTAGTATTCTATATTAATAAGTTCTAATTCTCTTTCTCAGATTGTTCTCGAAATCGAATTTTGGAAACAATCTTTCACAAAGTTTAATTTTGAATACATAATTATCAAATTAGTGTATCATAGAGTCCGCATGAGTCGTTCGATCACTATAACAATAAAAATATAAAAGGCTATTTTTTTTTTTTTTTTTTTATTTCCTTCTACCTATGTAAAAGTTGGACAATCAACTGAACGAACACAAATAAATTATTTTATAAAATATACATTAATAATGATTTGAAATGTTAACTTTAAAACTATTTTCAATACATTTGAAAAAAATAATAAAACGTTTATCTTAAATCAACACAATAAAATTAAAATATAATATAAGAAATTACTTTTTTAACACTGCATTGTTTAATTGCATAATATTCGCCTTCTTATAAATTAAAACGAAATATTGCAATACAGTGTATTTCCGTTCTAAGATATAGATTTTAATCGATGGTTATATTAGCAGTAAACATGTATATTTATAATAACCATTATAGATAGTAAAACGTATAAATGATAAGGCAGTTTTTAATTGAAATAGTAGAATCAGTAAAAATGCAATAAACAGATAGAATACAATAGTTAACCAACAAAGTATGCAACGAATCACTGTATACGAGTGTAGTAAATGTTTAATCATCACTGAAAATATTCTCGTATAATTTTAGACAGTATCAATTTAAATATTTATTGCTCAGAGTAAAAACGCAAGCTATTCAAACTATAACTTGATACACGAAATACTGGCGTTTACAAATTAAAAAGGAATAACAACTAATTATAATGTAACAATAGTTTATCTCGGAATCGATTAGCATTATGTCCAAATGTGTATCATAATAACCTATGGAAAAAATAGACGACAAAGAAATATATAATCGGACTACGATATAAAAGTATATTAATTCTATTTTCAGTCAATAAATACAAGCCTAACTTCTAAAAGTTTAAGTTAAGATATCATTGTATGTTATATGTTTAAAATAAACAATGATCATAATAGGTAACCAAGACAACAAAAGTCAAGATTACTAGAGTAGTCCCACAAGATGTATACAATTTATACTATGTATATACTCCATGCGTGGAAACCAATTTTACAATGTTCAACCGAATGGTCCAAGAGGAATAGGGTAATACTTTCTAGCTATGCGTTACTTTCAAAATCCTTAAACCATTTAGTATTAAACTGCGTTATCGATAGCATCTATGGTGGGCGATAACATTTTTTATTCTTTCTATGAATACGCGTATAGATGTGCAATATTTTTACAGAAACATTTTTAAACGGAATTCAATATGGCCATTGTGAATTGAAAAAATAAATGAATTTGTGATATTTATCGACCTAAAGCGTTTGACATTTATGCGACTAATAATGGCCGTTTTAAATTAATGGGGGATTGGTTCGGTCAGTTTCAAGTAGAGCATTTTATTAACACGCGGATCCGTGAAAAAGGTCGAATAACGGAGAGAGCAACAAAAAAAAAAAAATCCAGAGCTTTTATGTACTTAAACCACACACGATATGTATCTGCTTGGTTATCATTATCGTTATCACTGTTTCTAGTAAAAGGAATTAATGTTATTATTGCAGACTCATGTTTTGACGTATAGCTAATATAGCTAGCGGATAGGAGATGATGTGATATTCCGCAGCTAAAAATTAACATACATACATTTATTAATGTAAAGTTGCACGTACGAATACTCAAATTATTCCAGTGAAATTCGTTTTCCCGCTACCCCACCCGCACAACAGTGAATTCTTATCTATATAATATCTGACACAGGTTCATCTGCCGTTCTCGCCGCTGAGATCGGTTCGAAAAATCCTGCTACTCTATATCCGTTCAGTGCCATAACTACACTAATTTGGTCCCACGTGTAAATAAATAAAATTAATATCTCCTCCTCGTTCGGAATTTAGAAGCAACAGAGAAATCGTACCATTAAAACAATTGTAACCCAATGATTTTTTTTTAATTTCGGTTGTACAAGCCGCGAAAGATACATTGATGTACAATAATGTGTACAAAACATAGTCGATCAACTATAGTTCAACTTTCATTTATTATTATTACAACAAAATAATTTTGTTTTCTTTCTTTTTAAATATTTTTAATTGTTTATCATTGAACCCCATTATAGACTAAGGGCATGAAAACATTTCGAAAGGTTTTGAAAAAATGTAAGATGTTGACAAATAGCATGTTTTATAACTCGTTACATAATACGTACATTTTTTATAAATTTCATTTTCTCGTGGGGAACTTTTAAAAAAACTATTACATTTTCTAGGTCTGGTAAATTTTTTGTTGCATTTTTCTTTTTCCGTTCAAACCCCTAAACCCCTACGTTTGTGGGACCGTTACAAAACAATCGTATGGCTTCACTGCACCATCGCTGGTAAGACTTGGGCCGTGAGTTAGTTATCTGGTTTTCGCGAGGGCCCAGAAAACAAAGTTCCAGCTGGCCTCCAAGAACCATACGACAACTTTGCGCACCCCGACGACGTGAATTATGAACACCTACACTCGACTGCACCGGTGTTTGGCACACGTCCGACGACGATTCTCGCCACGACCGTCGTACGGCGGTTATAACGCGCGCGCGTATGCGGATTCACATTATCGCGCGGAAACTTCGGTCGGTTACCACGTGCGCTCGCCGAAAGTTTGCACTCCCTCTGGTGGATGGGTGGGCGGACGAGAGTAACACGCGTGCAAGATCCGCATGATGACGATTATTATTATTATTATTATTATTATTATCGTTGTTGTTGTTGTTACAATCACCGTCGGAAAACCGTAACATGCAAATTCTGTTTCGTGTGCTTTGCAGCTTGCAACCGGACTTACCATGGCGAAGTCGGCAGAACGTACGAGTTGGAAGTTCGGAGACCCAGAGAAGACAGATTACCGTTCTTGTGCTATTTGAACTTCACCGCGGCCGGCGGCAAGTACGGCGATATAATACAGGTAAGCCCGTTGTAAAGTTGTTATACTTTACACCGTTTTATAACGCGCGCATTATGATTACAATGTCACCGATATCGTTACAGTAGTTTCTTGTTGTGCGCCAACATCTTCAACTACGTTAAAATCCCCTTGAAACTACCATCACGTTCAATAGAGTTTTCCTCTCCATATCAAATTGATCGGTATTTTTTTTCTCGAGACTTCAAATATTGTTTTTATTACGGAAAGAGCGAAAAATCATGTAGTACGTTTAATATAGTGATTATGATTGTATGCGTTCATAACTAATATTTGTAATCATTCGCAATGTATAATAAAATAGAAAATACGCCTAAATTATATGTCCTTATTATTTGGAAAAAATTCTTTCGGTTAATTGAAAAGGTTGACGGTAAAAAATGTGAAATTGCCAATGAATTTCATATCATCAAATTACATTATTATTGTCAATTATTAAACGAAAATGGAACAATGTCGAAGTTCGATTGTAGAAATATTAAAAAACGAGGATGAATCCTTATTTGGACATCAATAAATGCTTATTAAAATTGTTTACTCAAGTGCCAATAAAAAAAACATACCATTAAATGGAACAATTATTCTTGAAAAATTACACAAGTATTCACAACAATTAAGACACATTAATTTTAAAGATATAGCTTTAGTATATATAGTTATATAATATAGTAAAAGTTGATTAAAAAATTGGAAGAAAGTGCTTTGATAGACAATGTTTAAAATGAATTGAAAACCCTCCTAATATTTTAGAAGGTTGTTTGTTCTTTTAATGATATTTTTAATGTTAATAAAACGGGCCTATTTTTCAAATGATTACCAGATAGAACTTAAATGTAAAAAGTAAAGAATATTCGTATTAATTTAAGTATAAAATACAGTAAAGAGTTCATTATAATTATGGTAAGAGTAAATATGTCTGAAACTGAAAACTAAAATTATTTGTCATTGAGAAAGCAACGAAGTCTAGGTGTTTTAAAGGAATTAAATATTTACTAGTCCATTATAGATTAAATAAAAAGGCTTGGATGATTTCATCATTATTTATTAAGTTGTTTTAAATTATGATAACTAGAAAATCGAAACGTTTTACTATTCATAGATAATTGCACATTTCATAATCACGATATTAAATTTAATTCCATTAAAGTACATATTTACCACCAATTACAACATCTATATATCAGTTAATAGATCAAGGTATTGTATAACGTTACAAAATGTTTTATAAAACTTGAAGCCATATGTATAGCATTGTGATAAATAGATCTCACTCGGCTCTCGGTTCAAACAAAAAAAAAAAAAAAAAAAATACTATATAGAAAATGTAATCAGACGATTAATCGATACCATTGATAATAATGAACCATTTTCTAAAAAATATTCAAAACAATAAAAATGTCTGATAAAACTCGGAAAAATGTTATATCAAAGACTATAATAAATAAAATTGGCATACAAACCGGTTTCAAAGACGGTGATATAATTTCAATAGATAACTCAACTAATGATAAATATAATTTTGTTGCCGATCATCTTAATTTAAGCAATAGCAATTATTCACACCATGTGAAAATGGACAACAATGTAATATACATTGTTGTCCGTTTTGTATAGAACATGGACGTGTCACAAAATTTTATTAAAAACCATCGATAATTCCAATAAGAGTAAAGTTAAAATAAGGAGGAATTCACTGTAGTCCAAGTATAAAAGTGTTGTTTGTTATGTGTAATATATCTTATTTATCTTATCAAAAATATTTAATATTTATAAAAACACAGTTATAATTCTTATTAATAAGCTATATAACTCCAAAAGTATAATTAAACTAGTAATTATTACATTTAGATTTTGAATCTTGTTTAAAACACACAAATCTTGATTAACTTTAATAACTATTATTTACTATTTATTTCTTATTAGTTTTTCCTAACCAGTAATATTATGTTTTCAATATCACACTAAGCGTAAAATTCATAGGTAATGTAAGTAAATTTAATTTAATTTGCCCACATCCCAAATATTAAGCAATACAATTTTATTAAAACTAAAAAATCCATAGACATCGGGAATTTATCAAAGAAAATTATATTCTTGTAGAAGAACCACAGTTCCATAACAGTCTAAAAAGTTTGATTGAAATAGACATAAACACAACCGACCGAATGCTATTTTTATGGAATTTAACGAAATATAATAATAAATATAAAAACCATTTGAATCATACATATACTTGAAATTGTTTTCATTCAAAAATTAAATTAAAGCAATAAAGAAAAAAACGATAATTGGAAAATTAAAAATAAAACAAAATGAAACAGAAAACTTCAATCTTATTCATCCCCGAAGCATCGAAGTTTTTCTCTGTAAATGTGTGTCTACCTCGTGTAAACTTTGTTATTTTTTTTTTTTTTTTTGAACAATCAAATTTGACGGAGTACGACTATAAAAAGCAAACATTTTTGCTTTTACAAATAGACTAAGAAAATAACACAGGATAAATCCAGTTATTTAATATAGTAACTCAGGTTTTTTAATGTGAAACTTGCCTAATACTTATGATATAATGGATTCTTCCTGCAGGAAAAGGTAAAGAAAATTCATCAAAACCAAAGTAATTAATTTTTAATTTTAAATTATATGACTACTGAATAAATAAATAACATTTTTTTTATCTTAACCTTCTCGTACAAAGTACACAGAACCAATCGATTTTTTATTCTTTTTACTACTAATTAAATTAATTAAACTTCAAATTATTTTGGTTCTTGAGTACAATATTAAATATGTGTATAAATAGTATTCTATAATTGAGTGCTTAAAATTTAAATTCATTCGATATAGTTCACTAAAGCATTTTTCTTTATTTTAACTTTTATAAATAAGTATTATACTTGCAATATAACTAGATAAAGATAAAATAAATATACAAACCTAAATTTACTATTTACTTGGATACGATCAAAATACCACAAAACGTCATTTGTATTTCCTCGTTTTGTTGCAAGTTAGTTAACTTATTAGAGTTTTTAAAAATGAATTCAAGTTGTAAAAATTAACAAAACAACCTAACCTAACCTTAATGTAAGTATTTATGATATAATATTTTTTTTATTCACATAAAAGAATCAATGTACCCAAGAATTAGGGACATTGTTATATAAATATTTTATAATATATACTTCATTGTTTTGAATTAAGTAAATAAATTACCCGATTTTTTTACTGAAAATATGAATGCCTCACATATGACAGCACTACATTGATACTATTGATAACTAAAACTAGTAATTACACATCAATAACAAAATATAATAATATCATAATATTTTTGGGCAATAATACTTTAAATGAAAATAAATCGAAAATTACCTTATAACAAATATTTATTACAATTTTGAAAATAATTACTATGGAATTTATTCAAATTTAATAAAATTTAACTTTAAATTATTCAAATAATAATACATAATACCTGCATCCTGCATATATAAATATATGTATACCTTCAGTAAATTTCTATTTTAATGCATAAATGTCAAAATAAAACTTTATGGTTGAATTTGGAAAGATTATGTCTTGCTTGGATATTTGTTAGGTATTTTTACATTTTTATCAGTATGGTAATTGTTTAGAAATAAAAAAGAGTTCAATGGAAAAGGTCTTTGAATATTGTTGAAAAAATGTATAGCAACGCACATTTCAGCCATTATCTATCCACCCTTATTTTAATCAATCGTAGAATCCGCTAGTAGTATTTGCTGATTGCCAAAAGAAATTTTTAATCATAATACGAATCATATAATATACAGTAGTTATTATTGAACTGCATTTTCAAACTACATCGTATGTAAAATCATTCCATTAAACATTTCTCCGGTAAATTTTGCATGCAATGAAATGTTATCAAACTTTGGCTTTAGATTACTTTTACATATAATTTGGATAATGTTTCTCCTATTCATATGTATATTGAGAATTTTTATTTTTTACATATAACCATTTCGAAAATAGAGCAGTTACACTCGTTTTGATTTCAACTAAAAATGAAATTCAAAGGACAAAGAAATACAACATTACAAAATTATGTTTTTATTTTGTTTTTTTGTTTATACATCCGTTCATAACTGAAAATAAATTGTAATTATTTATATTATTTATAATTAAATATATATATATATTACAGTTTTCTTTTATGAATTATTCAATCGGAATCTACCGCATAGAATGTGTGCTTGTATTTGAATTATATTTACAAAGGATTTTGGTATTTTTCTTTTCTTATTTTTACATGAAAAAAAATATATGTATGTATTGTATCTTTTATGTTTTATATCAAAAGGACGTAAATGTATTAAGGACAAAACACTTTTTAAATGTTTTAATGTTCCTTATGTCCATACGTGCAACACTTGAAATCGTTTTTTATACAGCTTTGAGAACTTCTCGCAATATTGTAGTGCACGTTATCATGCACCGATTGAAATAAAGTAGTATATTGTATAGAATATTGTTTTTATTGAAAAAAAAACAATTAAAATACAAAACGTATTCGTCAGGTGTCAATTCAAAGAGATAATTCGTTTTCGTAAATCATCATGTCACTGAACTTCTTGTTGAATTCGTTTTCTTAAATTCATTAAATATGTGAATTTTATATTAATCATTCCATTACTATACTAGTTTATCAGGCAAATGTTATTCCCTTCAAGAATTTTTATAAATTATAGCTCTATGGTGTGAACCGTAAAAAAAAATCACAACTTAATTACCCTCCAAATTTCAAGTTTTTTTAACTAAATTTTGTGTATTTTACAAGGAAAAAATGTATTATTCGTACCAACAGTATATGTATACTAGTTTGCTAATATTTATCTTTTATTTTAAAAATTCAATGTACCTGAGACCAAATTTTTATTTATTTTTTTTTTTTTGTGTGAAAACATTTTATATGGCGTTTAGATTTTTCCGCTTAGGCAGTGAACATTTTCGAGCGTTACCTTTTTCGTGCAACGCTCCATACATAATATATTATTAAAGAAAGGTAATTTTTATGATAGTTAGATTTGAAAACCGAACCGAACCGATTTACATAGTTTTTTTTTTTTAAGGCGCGAAAACTTTGTGTGCAGATGAGCCATCTAATAATAAAAGTTTAAAAATTTAATTAATTAAATAATTATTAGAAGTATTAAATTTTCCATGTATACAATATCGGTTCGATATCAAGACTGCGTCTTGAACGGACGTGATTATACGAAGAGAAATCGATTGAGAGGTTTCAATTTTAGCACAACTTCATATTTAGGCACCATATAACAAAATCGATTTTAGCATTGACTTGTAGATAAGTATTTTATTACGAAGTTGAAGATTGGATTTTAATACATACTTTTTTATCATGACCCGTAATAAGTGAGATATAGTGTTTAATTATACTATTACCTACTTATACTTACTTATACTTTTAAAATGGTCGTCCTAACAAATTCATTCAAATCAACATTTTATAATATACTTTTGATTAGATTTTTATTGAATCGCGTAAAACTTTTCATAAAGTTTTAAAATAATTATTCCGTGAATATTTTAAATATAAATTATGTATAAGTAAATAACTTAAGTTCTATTATTTAGTGTACTAATACGCCTCTAGTTGGGATATTTTCTTTTCTTTTTTTTATCGTAATTTAAAAATAAATTAAAACAATAAATGATAATCTTCATTACGAAAAAAAACTATTAAGATTAGTCATACCAACAATTTTTTTTCTCATAGTTACCTATTTTTACATACATAATATCTGGAAGTGTTGTTTTGCTGAGAATCCATAAATATTCCAATTCTACAGTACAAAAATTTAAGGATATAAAGTAAAAATATTTCTATTTTATAGATAAATTATTATATTATAATTCAATGTACGGCTTAAATATCTCGAATTCTTTACTAAAGATAAAATAATATTTATGAAATTAATGAAATACCATATAAAAAAAAATTTAAAAAAAAACTATTTTACATAAATAAGATTACAACTCAATCATATCGTTTTCAATCATAACGTAGTACCATACCTGGAAATACTGGTAAATTTTGAATTATTACAATTATAATTATGCGTTTTATTTGTTATTAATATACAAATTTTGAGAAATAAATTCATATAATTCATTTACATAAATATAAATCATTACTTTTTTCGTAAGATTCCATACTAATCTATATTTTTTTTATTTAATCCTTTTTGCAATTTTTTTTATCGTTATAGTTATGATTTTTAAATGTTTATGTAACACATCAACAGAGAAATAAAATGCTAATAATGATCCTTGCGACATAATGTTAACTTGTAAAGAGCGCATTTAGTTTTTGTGACTACATAAGACGTGCCAATCTACACTTTATAATAAGGCATTTCATTTTTTCTTATAAAGTTTAAAATAACTATTTATTTCCTCTCTAAATTAATGCTCAGCAAGATGATACACACTAGGCAAATAATATAATAGTGTTCTAGAAATTATAATGAATAATAAAATAACGAATACAAGTGAAATCATTATTGAGATTACTTTACTGTCGAAATAATTTTTTTTAAATTAATATAACACTGTTATACTAAACAAAATTATAAATAGTAAATTGTTCGAGTTTAATTAATTAATACAAATTACACAATGCACTTAAAAATTTATATTTTGTAATATTAAAAGCTGATACAAATAAAATGTTTAATTAAATACCATGCAACTTGAAGTAAAAGAATTTTTTATGCAATTTTCATAAATTTATAAATATATTTTTTTTTTTTTTTAGATAACTATACAATATATACATTGGGCACTATAAATACACATGATAATAGGGTAATACTTTATAAAATATTTATTATATACGTACAAAAAAAACTATTTATACTGAGAATAATATTTACACCAATCATTTATACTTTTTAGCACATGATAAATTCGTGAAGAGACGCCATCTATCTTTTTAGATATTTGTAAATTGATTATGAATTAATCAGCTAGTAAATCATGACACCATAAACGTTTGAGATATATGAGAAGGTTAATTGGAATTGTAGAGCATGCAAAATGTTTGATAATTGGATTTGGATGGAAGATTAGACGAATGTGGAATCGTTGGTTGACCATTTTAGCTTATTCTTGAATGGTTTTAATTTTATGATCGGAGTGAATGATAATGGAATGGTATGATAAGAAACGTAGAGGAAGGCACTGATTATTTTTTTCACAGCAATATTTTGAAAACTGATTTTTTTATGTTCATTTTATAATCATTTCCTCATAGCCGTTGACCATACATCTAAAGTGTTTAGATAGTGTCTAGCTAGATTTAATTATATATGTATACATATAATTTATTCGTATGTCAATATATACAAGTATATATGAATTTTAGTATTGATTTGGGTGTGTTTGTAATTATTGATTATTTGTTATTCTTAGTAAAAGCATACAGTGATTTAAATTGAATTTTTTTGAATTTTATGAAAAAAGCCTATGGGAAATTTGAGAACCGTATATAATAGACCTCTTGACAAGGGAAAGATATTTCAACAAGGGATATTTAATATGAATGTGGTATGGGTGGATTTGTACTGATTTATTATTTATTTACCATTTGTTACACCAATCATCCATAAGAGGGAGGTGATTTTGGAGGTTGAATAAAGCTGTAATACGGTAGAAATTGACGAAAATTATCACCTTGCTATCTACATAGTCCACCACTAAAATGGTTGAGATGGAAGGTTGATCAACAGCATATATATTATACCATTCTAGGATAATGTATACTATCTTGGGGAATTCCAACATTTATAGATTTTCTACAAGAGTGCTTAAATTCATAACGAACTAAAAATTTAAAATGTCGTTTAAATATATGACTTAATAATAAGATAGTATTCTGGGGATAGATATTTTTTTAGTTTATATAGTAAGCTTTAATGCCAAGCGCCACCAAATGCTTGAAAAACATCTAAGAAAGCACATGAACAGTACGTATATTTTTTCCAAGTAAAAGGATATTGAGTCTACAATCATATATTTTGAATAAAAATAAATAAATAACATACGTAATTGCATTTCTAATAGAGATTCTTTGTGCATAAAATATTCGATTAATTTTAGTATTGATACATGATATTGACTACTAAGTACATTTAAAATTATTAATGAATAATCCTTTCATATTACCAATACTTAAAATGCATACATGTACCTACAACATGAACTTCTGAATAAAATTACAGATCATAATAAGCAAAACACATTGATTTTATGCTTGGTTATTGAGAACTCAACTTTGATAAAAATATTTCATCGCTAAGAGCAATATAGTATTTTGAATATAGGCAAATTAATTACTATAGGTCATTCAATACTATTACATAAATAATTATTATTTATATAGTTGTACAACAAAACACGGCAAACATAATCAATTAATTCACGAAAATATGCAAATGCAAATAATTATTTATTACTGCTTTTACCACAGAGGTTTGTAAAGGAATTTATAATAACCAAAGCTATGAGTGTTAACTCGATTCCGTATTTGTACTGCCAACGCCCCAAAATATTATTACCTTCTGGGATTATCCAGTGCCTTGTTACTTACTCAATCGTTTATTCAAACGAATATTCATAATTCAAATAAAACTGTTGATGAAAAAAAAACCTCGAATTCTACTTTAATTATTTTTATAGTATCACAATTTCTTTTATAAAACTAAAATCAATTGATTCCGTGAATTTAACTCCAATTCATTGGATATAATATACATATATATATTTTTTAAACAATTGTCCGTTCTTTTTTTTTTTATGAAAACTTAAGAATTTGGTTTTATTTCATGATAGTAATTGTATTAAGTTAAATGATGCTTGTTTCAAAAGATGGGCAATTGAGTTCTACAATAGCTTTAAGATAAAAATCATCGGATGCCATTGAATTTAAACCATTTCAAAAGTCAATATAATGATAACTTTTATTTTGTTTTTTGAGATATTGGTGCGCCCCGTTTAAATTAATAAAAAATGTATACTTTAATTGTATAGTAATGACATATTAAAAACGTGGGAAATCCTAATAAATGGGGTAAATGACACGTGCGCATATATTAAAATAGTAACGATGATTATGGTGATAATAATAATAATTATGCTAAACGTGTTTGACGACGAAATTAAATGATTGCAGTTGACATTTGACACATTCACCGTGGGAAGATTCGTCTCGTATACGTTGGATGGCTGTCCTGACGGGTACATGTCTATCAGAGAATCACAGTTACCGGATACCGGTGGTCAGTGGTGCGGTAGTGCGTGGGGTTTTACTGTATATTACAGTGAGACCCGGTCGATAAACTTGACTCTCACGCTTTCCAAACTTTCCGAACAGGTACTAGAACCTGTGTAAATCAAAAATTGCGGAAATTAATTGAGCATTTATTTTCTATTAAAAAATGAAACATTTGACCTAACGTCTATTAATACGAGTAGTATTAATTTTATTAATTTAATATGCCTTAAAGCTATACGTTAGATTCATTTAATTGTTCAATAATTAAAGTTCAAATAAATACGTTTATGTATGCATATTTATAATTTGTGTCCGTTTACAGGGTATCGGTTACAATTTCGATTTCAAACTGTCTTACAAATATTTGAAAAAGAGCGACGCGCACCTCCGATACGGAAATAGTACTTTTCAGACATGGCGAGGGCAAATGATAACGGGAAGCTACTGCGATCGAATACTCGACCAATGTGACCGAAAACTGTGCCGGGTCCAGTCACCCAATTTCCCGGGGGCTTATCCCAGAAATGTCACTTGCTATTATCGAATAGAGCAGAGGACAGCTCCGAAGTCCAAGCGTGCCTTGATCGTAGTTCGGCAACCCAACGCCCATAAAATCCATATCAAAGATCAAGTGATAAACTACGACCGGAGCCAGCGCACTCTCAGGTTAGTCAGACATTTTTAATTTACTGTACTGATCAATATTATATTCGACTTTAATAAATTAGAATAATGAAGGCGACGACGGTCATTGCTTTGTTGTTGTTCCAAATAACAAAATATAATAACAAGAGTCTTATGTTGACGCTTTTTAGTGGTGAATACGTCGTATACATATTGTATAATCATAGTTGTATGTAAATAGAATTTAGTACTTGTATACGAGTGATCTAGTAAAATAGGATACAAACCACCACATGGTAATATATCAAATGTTCGAAAAATATTACAATGGTATATAATAGACTTGCACGTGAGCATACGCGCGAAGTTGGTTCAATACGTATATAAGATGTGAAATAATTGTTTATTAACTCAACATGATAATTTTCGGTCGTGTGAGAAGTCGAACAATGAACAATGAAACAAGCGAGGACAACTTAATAAATTAGGCTAATGTATTTTTAATGGAACGTTCTTCGATTATTGTTTAAAAGTGAATTCCATTATCCCTGTGCTGTATAATAATATAATGTAAAAGTCACATTTAAATGTCGTACTTTTTCCCCCAATAAACAATAGATGCGAGACGCGCCAATTGAACGGAACGGAAAGATAAAAAAAAAACATTTAAAATTCACATCCCTCGACCCGGCACTACCACCAATACGCGAACATATTTATAGATTATCCCGTATATTTTGTTTTTCTCGTCATTTTCGGTTGTAAATTTGGGAGTTATAAAATCTGATATAATATTTAATACCTAAAAGAGATAGTATTAAATTCATCATAAGGTTTATCAAATTAAAAATTATATATTATATCAAATTCCCGAAGTTTGAATAAACTATAATTTGTACATTTGTCTTTCTTACGGTTCGGTAAAAGAGGTTCGCATACGGATAACTATACGATGCCATTGACAGATCGAAAACAAACCGATTTGTTCGGTTCGACGTCAACTCAGCAGACGAGTTACGTAAGCAGAGAACCACTAACTCGTTGCCGGGGACGACCGTATACAACACACCCATTTGTTTTCGGTTATCGTACGCGGTCGTATTCGATCGATCTTATACATACGATGAGCGTGCTCGTGTTGGTCGATTTGAACGACGACGGCGACGGCGGTACCGAACGGTCTTCAAACGGCGACCGTTTGGAGCTGACGGTCACTGCGGTGGTGCACGGCGTACCGGTGTTCGCGTACCGTCCGGATGAATCATTTCTGGACGCGGTGGCCAGGGAGTTCCGACGATCTGTAAAACGCAGCGACCGCTGTGTTCAGTTGGTAGTGACCGGTTGCAGGGATCCTCGGCCGGCCGTGGAGGGATTGTGCCGAGAACGCGGCGTGCCCGTGAACGTCGTGCACTCCACGGCGGCCGGTGACTGGATCGAAGCGCTTAGGTCCGCGGACAACGTCACGGTGACCGGATGGACTCCGCACGCGGGCGACCGGATCACGGACACCGTGGCCGACGCTGTTCAACTCGTGGATGAGCTATCTGCCGAGTACCGAAAGTACGCGGACAGGCTGTGCGATGTGCCCTCGGCCGCAGTGAAGGTGGACCTTCACCACGTGTACGCGTCGATTTTAGACACGTTCGACGATGTCCTAGCGGTTGAACCAGTTTTAGATGCCGTTCTGGAGCAGTTGTGCGGTACCGATCGCAGAGTGCCGGCGGCCACCACGTTGCTGAAAGAAGGCCGATGGATGTCGGCTACGGCGGTTGTCGAATACGGCGATCGCGCAGCCGAAGATGCGTTTCGCTTGTTGGCACTGAGACGGTGTTCGGTGGCGAACGCGGTCGACTGCGCGAGACGTACGACCCGCGTGGCCGCAGCGTTCGCGACCGCGTTTTGGACCGGTCCTGTGACTCAACCACCGACGGCCATGGACCGCATGCTAGCCGAGTGCCTGGTGGAAAACGTGTGGGCGGCCGCTGGTCCAGAACTCGCCGGACTAAGCGTCGAACAGTTCTCTGTGTGCCTGAACGCTAAGTTCGCGGACACCCGGCTCTGGAATGGCAGCCGACCGTTGGTCAATTGTTCAGCTATACGGCCTCCGTTGTTTCGACCCGAGATCCGTGAGCTCAGCGAAAGGTTCATGGCGGTAGACCACTTGATGGATCTCATGACCATCGGCGACGACGGCGGCAGTAGCGTATTCGACAAAAGCCACTTGGAACACTTAGAATCATACGTACTGCCTCAGCGACTGGTGGAATATGCATCGCGGTACTACAATTATCAAGTCCAGTATTTCGCACTCACCGACACGCTGGTGTTTAGGTTCACGGACGGTGAACGCGGTGAGTTAGTCGAGCGAAACCACAAGCATCGGTTCGCTGGACCCCGCGACTTTAAACAATACCATAGCGAAGTGTTTCGAATGGTGGACTACCTGAGGTCAGTCTCAGATAATATCTCAGGTAGACGACGGATTTCTAACATCCGATGTCTTCGTTTCAGCGTCATGTCTCGTCCTGATCTTTATTTCGTACCGTTTCATCCGGACGGTACAAAATTATGTGATCTTATCACCACGGACGGGGCACGGATCGCGAACGATCGTCGATAACTAAACTTCTCGACACGATATTGTTATTCCGTTTCAGTAACGGCGGCATTAGCAACGATTCCGACGACCTACCGTTGGCCGTAAGCGATCCGAACGCTTTTAGGTACCGAGAACCCGGTTATGTCGATACACATGACAACACCGTGCTGTACGTGTCGACAAGCGGCCGGACCAAAGTCCGGGCGGAAGTGTACAGATTTTTCGGGGATAAAGGCGAAGTGACGCGCGACCGAAAGTACCAGATGAGGATGGAATGCGATGACAACACGTGGGTGACCATGCACAGCGCCGCGACTGCCGACGGCATCGGACGGCTGACCGAGATGACCGTCGGCCTCTCCGACGGTACCGTGGTCGCGATTACTCGGACGCCCGAGCCTGGGTACCGGTTTGACGTGACCGGCAGAACCGCGGACGGACAGACGACCGACAACCGGTTGACCGGGATGCCGTCATTGGAATACGACGGCAGCGTAGCCATCGTCACGTTGGTCGATGGTTCGCGAACAGTCGCCGAATTCGCCGACCTGGAAACGTTCGTGTGCGAGGCGTTCGTGGCGGACGGCACCCGCGTCCGGATGACGACCGGCCCTGCCGTACAGTACTTCCGACGTGATGCAGTGGATGAACCAGTGACGTACTCCGTCCATGCCAAGCACTTAGTGTGCCGCAGAGACCTATCGGGTTACGAATTCGTCGACGACAGCGCCCAGAGTCAGCTGTTGCGTTGCGCTGACGAGTTTTCCGATGACCCGGTGCGGGTGGTCCGCACGTTGACCCACAGCCACTTAGACGGCCGCACGTCCGAACTATTGGATCACGCATTGTCCGTCCACTTGAAATCCATCGGTGAACTGGCCGACCGGTTGAACGCCAATTTTGGTAGGGCTCTGCCACTCGTCACCGACACGTGACCGGAATGTGTTCTCTCATTTTTCTCATTTCATCATCGAAATCTACGTTAAACGTCAACAAATAGCATTCAATATTGTTGTTTTTTCCATCAAAAACCCAACAGTTTTTCGAGAAAATTTTTATTCAATGATAGCAAAAAAATGATTGTCCTGTATATTAAAACATTTTAATGTTCGTTTTAATTTGAAACACTTGTGAGATTAATTAGCATTAACAACGACTACGGTCAAACGCGATAAGAAAATAATAAATATTAATATAAATAAATAGTTTATCACTATAGCTTGTTCTAATTTTATTATTTTATTTTTAAAGTTTATTTTTATAATTATAAAAATCACTTTTGTTATACATCATAATTTTATCTTATTTAAACGTTAACTCTGCGCGACTTCCTAAACAATTTGCAACAATCATAATTGACAATTATCAAAAAGTTATTGATCGGTTATCGTACATCATGTTATTGTATTAATAATTACTATTATTATTGTTAATTTTTTCAAACACTCAATTAGCGTATACTAACTATACTTACAACTAAACAACTCGCAGGACGGCGTTATTTATGAACACTGCGCCGAACGTTATTGTTAACCGACGAGGCTCCTTAATGACTACCGAGGGACCGCCAAGCGCAAACAAAGATTCTCGCATTAAAACAAATAAGGCGATTATATCATAAATCATGCCAATAGCCAAAGATTTCTCGAAAGTATAATATTTTTCTTTTTCCCAGACCGGTGAAAACTTTGCAAATACGTTTCAATAAAATCGTGTCTAAACACGACTTATACCACTTTCTAATACATTTTTCACCCTAATAACTTAATTGTTCGAATGTGCATTATTCTGACACTCAGGGTATTTAAATCACTTTGCGTGTAGAAAAAATAAATAAAATGGTCATTAAATATAAAGTGCTTTTTATTCTACGTAATATATTCTCCAAGTTTTCATTCTGTGTTTACATTAGTCTAGTTTAATAGAGGAAATCGTGAAATCTCTTCAAAAATATTGTACTAGTAAACGTTTTTTTCTTTTATTATTTAATAATAAACTTTATCTTGTTATAAATATCTAGTCATTTTCGACTCTGAATGAAACGAGCAATGTATTAATTTTACAATATTATACATTTTTCATTTGTGTGTCTTTAACACGATTTTGATTAAAAATGCTCAGTTTAATAATATTGAAAATTTCCTTTAAAAGTTCTAGTAAGAAATTTCTGGGGTCATTTATTGAAATTTTTATAAATTTCCAGAATATCGCCTAAAACTAACGAAAAGTTATAAAAAAAAAAACGTTAAAATGTACTACATACGGGTTTTCAACAAAATCGAATTTTTGTTTTCATCGTAACTAAAAAAATAATAGCAATAAGAACGTCAAATTTTCCCTGAATGCTTATATCAGCATTTTCTATATATGGCATAATTTTCAAAAGATATTTTTTATGCTATTTATAAAAAATTAAAGTTTTCATATTCATTTTAACTTTTTATGAAAATATCAATAAAATTATTTTGACTCAACAAAAAGTCATAAAAACGTATTGCGAATTCCTCGTGTATGTTTTATTGATAAATAAAAAAAAATTAACCTAATTGCAAAAAAATTTAAGAACGTTTGAATAGTATATTTTGAAAAAATAATAACAATCACGAGAATCTGCAACATATTTTTAGTTAAAAGTACATTAAACTTTCAATTTTATACATTAGAATTGAAAATTGGATTCAAGATATTTCTTAAGATTTTCTTTGTAGTCAAAGCAGAAAATTTGTATAAAAAACAGGTGAAAATGTTTTCTAGGCATTACAAAATGAAATTTTAATGACATTTATACTTCAATGATTTTCTATTAAATGGTATTAATTATTTAGCTAAAGACATTACATAGTGTCGAAACATTTTAAAGACATTTTTGGTATTTAAGGCACTTGAAATTTTCGATTTTCTCAAATTTTAGATACTTTTTTTATAAAAATAGCAGAACATTCAAATTTCAACCTATCTTATTAAAAAATATGATTATTTTGCTCTATCAACCATCTTTAGAAATATAAACTGATTCACCCAACCTCGATCGCTTAGAATCGTTTTTCGGGATTAATGGTACGTTAGTTTCAAGTTTTAAAGACCAATACAGAAATACCATTAACCCATATCTGTATATCACCCGACAACACCCTTTTTAATCTAAAACCAAACTGTCGATGTGTTATTTTTTCGATAACACTCGCACACATTATACTATGTATTATTATTTATCACAATCAAACGAAAAGGAAAACATAAAATATCGAAAAATGAACAAAGTTTTTATTTTGTTATTGCTCTTCATTTATATTGTAAAAACGATTTATAATGGCCATATTTTATATATGAGTCGTTAGTACTTCCTTGGGACAATAAGTTACATACATAAGTCATAACTTCAACAAAATATAATATTCGAGACATCAATAAATGCGCAGATACGGTGAATTAATAAAATACAAACAATGACTTATAGTTTCATCAAAAATACAATTTAATTTAACAAAGTATAAATATGTTTGAAATTTCTCAATTTTGTTTTCAAAGTGTTTTAATTTATATTATCAAAATATTTGTTCGACCTAGAAGTTTATTAATTGTTATAACATTTTAGTTGATACGCCATTATTAACATTTTTATTCAAGAAAACCTGTATATTTTGTGAAAACAAATTATAATGTAATAAACGGTTATTATTTTCATGATAGTAATCATAATAAACATATTTATTACGCTGCTAAATTAAACAAATATTATTATTAAATATTTATAAACGTGTCGCGTAATTAAGTATATTTATCAGTTTTATCGTATAAATCTATACATACCCACATAAAACAAAATTAATTAAAATGCGTTCGATAAATTCGTTTTTCTTTTTTACATCACGAATATTATAGTTAACTTTTACAAATCAATTGATATTTCCCCCTTCCATTACATTAAAATGGACTGTTCAAATAGCATGAAAAAATATTTGTCAATTTTCTAATATCATACAGTTAGTAACACAAAACGAATTATATGATATCAAGACGATTTTTTCAAAACAATTTTTTTTTCGTCTAAAACTTTTAATAATTATCTTTCTTATGAGTTAAAAAAAAAACAATTAAAATTCCATGTAATAACTATTGAAATGGGCTAACAGCTTTATGAGGCCAGTCTCCAAATATGAGTAACGAAATATAGTTACTAGAAATTAAGAATAGTAACTATTAACAAACATTGGTCGTACTGTGTTCCGGTGGAATAAAAAATGCGTTTCTCGTAATAATTTCAGAGTTTGGGACCAGTGCAACGTGATTCAAGACTACCTGACGGTGTACGATGGCTCACTGGCCACGGACCCCGTATTGGTGAGACTGTGCGGTGGAGACGCGGTCCCGGATATCGTGAGTTCCGGAACCAATATGCTGTTGGAATTCCATACGTCCGCGTTCGACAACCCGTTCCATCCAGTCCCTTTGAGCTACCTACCGGGTTTCGAACTGGATGTAGAGGTAAAATACGAACAATAATAACAATAACAATGAACGACAAACAAATGTTTTCCCCTGTCGCTCCATTGCGGCTGTTCCAATCCAACCGCTAACCATCGTTTGATTTTTTTTTCCATCCTGACCATTTTCCAGATACTGTTCGTGGACAACAAGTCACCTAGTTATGCCAAGAACACAAGCCAGTGTGAGTTCTTCATCAAGCCATTCAACAACACCAACTGGGGACTGTTAGACAGTCCCAGGCATTCGTTGCCACCCAACACGTCGTGTAAATACCACTTCCAAGGTTCCAGCCATCAGACGGTATGGCTGTCGTTCATCAAGTACCACGCGGCGAGCACCGATCCCAACGCGTATCATCTAAGCAACGAGTGCAACGCCAGACTACGGATCTGGGACAAGGTCGTGTCGGCAAAAAACAAAAAGGTTAGACGACAATATAATATTTTTGTTTTAATACTCCATATGATATTATAACGTATTACGTTGTATACGATGCTTGGTGTGTTCGTAATTTTTAGTTTTTTTTTCTTCGTTTTTATTTTATCTGACTCCGCGTGAATAGTTTTTTAGTACGCGAACATAAAAATATACTTTGAAATTTTTAGACGTTATATTATATGTATTATTTTTTATGGAGTTCAGAAATTCAGTTCGATGCAATAACTTTTAAAATAGTACGATCGTTGGCGACGAAAATCGGTATTTTATTTAAGAAAATACAATAAATTTAATCGTTTTGCAAATCGATTTGTGACACGCGACAAACACAACTTTTTTCAAAATTTCCATTACAAAGGAGAAGAATATGTTTCAACAAAACATTACAGACCAAAAATTAATGATTTTCGAAAAATCTCCATGTTCCAACTTAATCTATTAAATATTTGAGAGGATTAGAGGATTCGAAGGCCGGAATATTCATCCAAAGACTTAGTATCATAAGACATATAATCCTGCACTTGAACTACTACAACGCCCACCGAACCACGCATTAACAATACTAAGTTCCAGAGTTTTGCATGCATTTGGTTTCGTTACACGTAAAACACTAAAGTGATATTATTCAATGAAAAATTCATTATGTCGTCCTGAACGCGTTGCCTCTTATTATAGTTAGGTCAATATTAAAATACACGTCTCCGTTTCATAGAACTTGGTTCAAATGGGATTTTTATAAAAGAAAAAAAACGTTTACGACGTTTTTACGGTATATCACGCACAAAAGAAAATCTGTATATAATAATGGTACTTTAACGTTTGACAACATAAGTTTCTTTTTAGATTAGCCTTTATTGGCCTCCCCAAGGAGTTGAATAAACGTGTACCTACTTTATGTTCAAAATGTCGAATATTTTAATTTAGCGTTCATCCACTTGAATACTGCTGAACGATATTTTGCATTCGTTTATCTCGACATGTGATATTTAAAACGAGTTTCGCCGCCTGTGTACAGTATGCATGTAATGTATTTCAATTTTATTCCCAACACATATCTGAACGAAATCATTTGTTTTTTTTTGCGATTCATATACGCGCATTGATTTTAAAATTTATTTATATAATAGTAGTTGTACTACAAAACAGTATGTAGGCGGTATTCGGTCGTATTCAAAGATAAAGTTTTAAACATGTAAAATATTTGCATATTTCCGTTTTAATTATGCGAATTCGTCATCATTGAATTCATTATCATTTTTGATCGGAAATCAAATAAAACATTTACCGGTAGTGCAGTGAACTGGATAACACTGATACGTCTCGAAACCGAATTTGGTTATTGCCAGTAATACCATTGTTGTTCATACAAACTCTTCGGCCGTCTTAAAAAATTAACACTTTTTAATAATCCTATAGATTTTATGTTAATTTCAAGTGCTACCGAAGTTTTCGTTGAACAAAGACATCAATTATTGTATAATAAATATGCATTTATTATTTTGAACGAAAAAGTAATTCGACTAAAAGTTATGATTTAAATTACGTATCAAATTCGGTAAACTCAGATATAGTATATTGCAGGAGTCACCAACCTTTTCAAACAATTAAACAACATTTGAAATTTTAACTCCCAGGTGATCGATATCCAGGAGAATTTAGGTATTTAGGAAGATATTTGTTTGATAAGCAAAAAAAACAAGTTCTAAGCTTCAAAGAATAACTAACATATTTATTGTTCTTTCATAATAATAATCTAATATTCCCATTATCCGATTATTTATTATGCGCTCGACCGACAATGGTAAAATTAATTTTTTTAACAATCTATCAATATTCCTAGAAATATCGACTGGTTGGCGCCACGCGGTATATTGTGTGGCAAATAAGCTATTTCAGTTAATGGCGACGTATGCAGCACGAGCCGCAGCGAGGTCCACATTCCACCCAAAACTGAAATTACCTTCCCGCGCAAGCTAGACATGGATTTAGTGGGGGATAGTAGTATATTTAATGTCCGACAATTACAATTAATTTATGCGTCATACAGGAGGTTATAATATAAATGTAAGATTTAATCAAAAGTTTATGTTTTGTAAGGGCTGTGGTATACACTTCAGTTTTTGGCTGTACTAGAAATACGCACTCGGCGCTTTTGGAAATTTGCATTTTACCGCTCGGCACTTTTGAGGATTTCCACTTTACCGCCCACTGGGCGGAAGAAGGTCACTTTCTAACGTTTCAAGCTTGATTGAAAACCAAACTTTCGATACAGGCGTGACAAAAAAAAATATACGTGTCCAAAATGAAAGCAATAAAAAACATAGATAATGAACGCAAATCTACATTAAACTAATACGAGAAAAAAAATAGAAATTACAGTGCATTTTTTACATCAAACTATACGTTTATTTGACTCTGGTGAACTTGGAGACACAACATTAACAGTCATTCTTCCGACCCTTTCATTACACTTGTTGGTGACTTTTTGTTTTTTTTTTTTTGGACAAGATTCAAAGCTTTATTTTCATCAAAGGGGCATTTGAACTTTTGCATTTCAGATTCAAGTCGACAACATAGATGTTTGTCGAAAAAAAAAATTTGAAAACGAAACGATTTCTTCTTAATTTGTTGGATTTTTTGAATACTGTAGGGCATCTTTCAAAATTTGTTGGATACTTTTTTTACCTATTATTCAAATTTGAACTTTTTCACTGTTAAGTCGGAAAATGAAATTAGATTCCTGGTAAAAACGGTTTCCAACAATGTGCAACAAAGTGAACAATAATGGGGTGTTCGTCTGTATAATTAAACGTATTATTCGTCGCGGAGACTAGGTCAGAAGAATAACATAATATAAATCGTACCTACTATAATCTTAAGCGTGTGTTTCGTTACGTTTTCTTCTTTCAGCCCGAAACGGTGTTGCTAGGCGAGTTCTGCAAAGAACAAGAACTTCCGCGGCTGTGCGATCATGCGCTGCTAGGCAACGACACCAGGCACGTGCGGCCATGCACGGCTAAGGAGTCGTACACATCATCGGCGGACGAGTTGACAGTGGAGATCTACCTAAAACAGGGCTCGGTGCTGTTCCCTCTGCAGTTCCTGTTGCAGTACGAGTTCGTGGACCAGTCGGCGGAGAGGCACCAAGGACCTGGGGATGCGGGGCCAGCGGCGTGTAGCCGCTCATTTGTCGCCGGCTCCGGGTACTTCGGGTCGCCCAAGAACGTGTTCTTCTACGGCCGCGGTGGCCGCCTGAATCTAACGTGCGTATTCCGGTTCGTACCCGCGTCACCGGACGATCGGGTGCGCGTGACGGTGTCGCGGATGCACGCGGCGGCCGCAGGACCGGGCTACGCGGCGTGCGCGACTGAGACAGACGCGCGCACGGACCGGTCGCGGTGCGTGTACGCGACCGGCAGGGCCAGGGAAGGGGCTCAAGCCCGTGTGGCCGTCACGCACTACCCGTGGCCGGACATCGAGCTGCCGGTGGGCTGCGCGTGCTCCGCGCTCCGCGGCCCGTTCACGTTCGAATCGTACCCGGGCGCTACAGTTCGGGTCGAGTTCACGGTGCGCAACATGAACGTGACGCAGGATCACCGGGACTTCGGATTCGCGGGCGAGTACGCGTTCGTCAAAGCCTCGCAGCCCGAGCGGGACGCGTGTCGCGACGTCCGCAATCGCCGTCGTCTGCGCGGCCCCGGTGGCGTGATCGCACTGGACGGCGGCGGCAAAGTGGCCGAACCGGGCGTGGGTGGCGGCACACCGTCGACGGCGGCCGCGGCCGCGGCCCGTTGCGCCGGTTTCCCGTGGCTACTTGAGCCGGCCACCGCGGGCAGCAGCATGTTGCGCACCGGCGGCTTCGTGTACCTCAAGCTGCACGGTTACGAGATACTGCCGCACCGATGGCGGACAAACTCATTCATGTGCCCCACCCGGAACCGCGTGATCGTGTACACCGGCCCCGGTGACGGTCCGAAAACCGCGCGCATCATCTGCCCTTACGACATCGAGGCCAACTACGCGCCCGGCTCGTTCGAGGTGTTCTCTTCCGGCTGGACCGAGCCGCTCACCGGCGCCCAACAGCTACAGCCCAACTCCAAGACCGTGGCCGTTGAGTTCCTGGAGCGCGAGTACGGCTCATACACCGTCACCTGGATGGAAGTGTCCAAGATGCCACGCATCATGTCCTCCACCAACGTGTACGCCATGCCGTCCAATGTGCACCCCGACTGCGTTTACAGGTGGGCGCACCCTCTTCGTTTTATTGTCCATCCTCGAGACCTTTTCCGCCTGTTCGTCAACCCCATTATCCCTTCCTCTCCGTGCCAAGTTATTGTATAGATGAATTCGAAGTCTCGTTTTGACATGTATATTTTACTCGAAGCGATAGTATGCGCAACTATGTCATTAAACAGTGATGAACTGAAAGGTTATAGGAGTATATTAAGTTTTTTTTTTTTTGCTAGATGTTAGATTTTAACGTAGAATAAAATAGATTCATAAATTCAGTTACTAGCTTTACTCTACACTAAGGTAAAACCTCTTATTGTATAGCAAGAATACTTATCAAGAATAAATTATACTTTGTAGTAAAAAGAAAAATATAAAATAGTAAATAACAAAAAAAATAAATAAAAAAGACGAAAGAAAAAAATAAACATATAATATATGTAATAATATAAAGTAAATAACATACACCTATATATTTTATAGGTGTATGTTATTTACGTTATTATGTATAGAATGAATACAATAAGAAATTGAAATAAAGTATAACATAAATATAATGGATAAATAAATGTAATATAGAAATGCTTAATAGTAAATGTTTTTTTTTTTCATTTTAGGGTATTAATTAATATAGAATTATACCCACGTCATTAGTTCATCGTTTCATTTACAATGTATAATGTACACAAGCTAAAAATACCTTGATATGCGGTTATATGACTATATCGTTCCGTACATGACCTATTAAAGTATTCAAATGTTCAGAAACAAGATCCATGTATTGTATATATTTTAGAATTTTCAATGCTCATTTTTCAGCACAGTTATATAAATTATAAATATCTGTGTTTTTCAGATGAATATCAAAAATATTTCGAAAACGAATAATCAAATAAATAATTTTCTATAAACATAAAGTCAAGGTATACAATCCATAATATCCAATACATTTTGTCTATTTTTTTGTTCGATAATATTGTTTCTTGTAATATATACTCTAATGTGCTGTGAAAATTTCAGTTAATAAGTTATATATAATTTGTGTATTTTTAATTATATTTTCATGGTTTTTAATTTTTAAAAAAAATTGTAGAGTAAATAAAAAATTAACATTATAAAGTAAAAACTAAATACTTAACATTTTCTACATTTCCTACGTAAAAAACGTGTGTACTATAATTTATTCAGCATTAATGTTGTAAGATTTTAAGAGGACCTAGTATCCATTTGAATGAAAAATAAATAAATAAATACATTACTGTTTAATTATTACAATCTGATTATGTATACGCATAGTGCGAAGCTTCTAGTTTAAAAATCGAATTGCCATCCAACTCATGTATCTATGTATCACAAATAAGTGTGGGTTTCACGCGAAAATATTACTATTCAAATAAATGATTAGTAAATTTTACGAAATTAACCCGTCGGTGATTTATAAAACAAATGTAAAATCATATTACCTTAAGATCGTTGGTTTACATTATTTAAAGCAATCTCGGTAATAGCACCATATTCGACAAAATATGATCATCTAAAGGAGAAAAAAACCCTTAAATATAAGGAGTTAACTTGTGACTTTTACCCAACTTATTTTTATTAATTATGTCTGTAAGTACTTGTAATTTCAAGTCATTAAAATTAAATTTTCCGCTATCCTTGTCTTAAGTTACTTTTAACCTTTAAATTATGTATTTGTTTATTAACTTTATACGCTCTCATTACACTTTATCTTTCTCCAAAATATAATCATGCAAACTTTTATGCTGCGCATAAGTACATTAATTTGTTTACCTTCTGAAGATGAAACGTTCTTTTTTTTTTTTTACCGGAAAAAGTTGTGCACATGATATTTTTGAGATAGCCGAACCAATTTTCTGAAAATAATGGCGAGTTACATCTTTTATCTCCCGGGGTCGATTTACGATTTTTGTTCATAAAATAATTCAACATGTTAAACAAACAATACAGTTTTTCGCGATAAAAAATATGACGGTAAAAACAGAATATGTTTCTGAAACAAAAAAAAAATTGAGAACATCTACTTGATCTTCTATCTCGGTTATTATTAAAGTGAAGTTACCCTTGTGTGTTTGTGTTAAGTCCGTATCAAAATAGTTCAGGTCGATAAAGCGATATATATGTAGGCATGCTAAACAGAAACACATTATTACTATACTCTACTCGTAGATACACGTAATATTAATTCTCAAATACGTCATCCAGGACGATGGCTCATTAGATTATTGTTGCCGTGAAAATGCAGCCAAGCACATGGTGCATGCTTTAGGCGACCCGTATAATATACATATGATTAGTGTTGGTTAAGTTACGAGCTGCACTGGTAATTCGATAATTCGTTAAATATTATTGTTGCATCGGATATTAAAGTGCTCGTGTTGTAGTGTTCATGTTTAATACATGAACTTTTGTTTAAAAAAAGACAAAGAAAGTGGAATACCAGTATAACTGCTTTATTAGTCCTTTTTCTTCGTATTTATTTGGTATATTTGATAAATTAGTACACAATTAGTAGATACGAGTAGAATAATAAAAAAAATTAAGTACTAAGGAATAGGAAGATCACCCATTACTCACGACCATAACGTGAAGTAGTATTATTTCCTAAATATTTTGTTTGGTAGACTTTTTATTTAGGTTTTTCCTTGGCATTTTTTTTCACCCAAAATATGTCTTCAGTCCTTAAATTAGAATTTTAAATTATCATTATCAATAATAGAAATAATGAATAGTTATTACGTACACTGGTATAGTTTATTCGCAAAGTATATAAAAAAAAAAAGAAGTCAATCAAGCAATCAATTTATAAAAAAGGCAGATATGGCATGAATTATTTAAAAATCTACAAAGGAGACATTAACTAAAAAATATTGGGAACCATAGGTTAGATCACAATTTTAGGAGACTTTGAAGACCCCGAGTACTTTTGACAGGTGCTTATTAATTTATGATCGACTGCAGTACAGCATTTAATTGTGATTATAATAATACATTTATAAAATTAAACATCAGTACTGTGACAATTAACGCAGAAAATATTCTAACGCACTTTTTGACAGCAATCATATAAATCACGAACTGATATCATTATTATGGTTTAATATAACACATACGGTTTGAATATTATTCGACAATGTTATAACTTAATCTACTAATTTTTATTACAGTACTTAAATATAATAAGAAAATCTTAAATGGGATTGATATGATAAACGAGCGTCGCGTCGTGGTCATAATAAATGCTCATGTCAAACTTTTGTTTGCCTAATTAAAATACATTTACTTAGGTACGAAATAAAAAAACCATGTAGTTGTTGTATACAATTGTCCACGTTTATTAAACCTTAATAATGAGATTTTTTTTAATTGGCTACGTTTTTTTAAAAGGTTCTTAGAGTATATAAAGCTTTAATTAAAAGGGATGTGGTTACATTATACATGTGTAATACGTATTTAGTATTTCCCCGAGCAATGTGCACATAACATGTATGTTTAATTTCGATTTCTGGTTTATATGTAGTATAGCATAGTGAAGCAATGTACTATAGTATTAATCATTTCGTTATAAGACACCATTTCATTTTTAATGTTTTAATCATTAATTAAATAAACTATGTTAATACCATATGATTGAAATTAATGTTTAAATACTACTACACTACTATTTTATCTACATGACCAAATAATGAGAAATTATATCGTTATAATATTTGATACTCAAAATAAAAACATTTCCACTTTATATTCTCAAATAATCAGCCACATATTTTCAAGCTAACTTAATATAAAAATTACTGCTCGGTGGGATTACATATGTAGTACGTAGAATTATAATCAATGTTATTTATATCAGTTAACCTTGATATATGTTCATAATCATTGGATGAAATAAATTCATATTTTAAGCTATAAAAATGTATAATACATTTAGTATTAATTAACCTAAGTATCGCAAAAAAATGTAAATAAATTATATTTATGAAGTAATTAAAATTTTAAATTTAATAAAAAATCAACTGATATTTTTTAGCATATTTTTAATTTTTCTTCCACATAAAAATAAAATATTCAAAAAAAATACAAGAAAAAGTTATCGAAAATTCTACATTATGTAAATATTTATTGGTAACCGTTATAATTTAATTTAGGTAGTAGTATTAATTTGGAACAAAGATGCAAAATTAAGTTCACCTTAAGCCTAATGCAATCTACTTAATGATTTATGAAAAATAATGTAAGAAAAAAAGTCGAAGAAAGAATTAATGGGTTAGACCGATGAATATAGAATTTACTTTAATTATAAATTCAGAAATAAATAAATTTGCATTTTTCCTTTCTGTAATTATTAATATTATAATTCTTCTGTAGTTATATTAAGTAAGCAATTAATAATATATAAGTAAGGAGAAAAAAATGCTTTTAAAATAAATATTTTTACGTTTTAAATACATTAAGAGCTATTATATGGTATGAGGTACTTAAGAATTAAACTATGATGGGTTCGCAGTATAGCCTTTATTGATTTTAAATATTATTTTGTTAAATATCAACACGAAAAATGATTCAAATTCTCAGATATTGACGCCAACGACTTTATAAAATTATATAATTCTAAAATGAAAACGATGTCGTTAAGTCGATTAGTTATAATACTAAAAAACCGGTGTCTAGAAAAGAGTAAGTCTGGCAGTAATTATTATTATGCCTGTTCTTATTAAATAACTCATCTGTAAATATGTTTAAAAACGTTCTAGAAAACGTACAAATAATATTTAATATACGAAAAATACTCTGTATTATATTAATCAAAATCCACTAGAAGAATCACAATGATTATATAATAATAAAGTGCACCAACATTGTTTGAAATATGATAAACAAAAAGATATTTAATTTTTCGCAAGAATTTTAGTCTGTGTACGAAACTATAAGAATGAAAAATGTAATTAATAAGTCCTAGTGGGAGGCCGCATAGTATTTAATATAATGT